GGGTAAGTTGCACACATCTGGAACCCGAGGCTGCGGCTAGATATTGACCCGAGGAATCGATTGTGACCCTTATTTTGGCGATCAGACGAACCCTTGAGGCACTTTTGACGCGCCCCTTCCTTTAAGGGCCGATTAAGGGGTAAGGGGTAAGTTGCACACATCTGGAACCCGAGGCTGCGGCTAGATATTGACCCGGGGAATCGATTACGACCCTTATTTTGGCGATCAGACGAACCCTTGAGGCACTTTTGACGCGCCCCTTCCTTTAAGGGCCGATTAAGGGGTAAGGGGTAAGTTGCACACATCTGGAACCCGAGGCTGCAGCTAGATATTGACCCGAGGAATCGATTGCGACCCTTATTTTGGCGATCAGACGAACCCTTGAGGCACTTTTGACGCGCCCCTTCCTTTAAGGGCCGATTAAGGGGTAAGGGGTAAGTTGCACACATCTGGAACCCGAGGCTGCGGCTAGATATTGACCCGAGGAATCGATTGCGACCCTTATTTTGGCGATCAGACGAACCCTTGAGGCAATTTTGACGCGCCCCTTCCTTTAAGGGCCGATTAAGGGGTAAGGGGTAAGTTGCACACATCTGGAACCCGTGGCTGCGGCTAGATATTGACCCAAGGAATCGATTGCGACCCTTATTTTGGCGATCAGACGAACCCTTGAGGCACTTTTGACGCGCCCCTTCCTTTAAGGGCCGACTAAGGGGTAAGGGGTAAGTTGCACACATCTGGAACCCGAGGCTGCGGCTAGATATTGACCGGGGGAATCGATTGCGACGCTTATTTTGGCTATCAGACGAACCCTTGAGGCACTTTTGACGCGCCCCTTCCTTTAAGGGCCGATTAAGGAGTAAGGGGTAAGTTGCACACATCTGGAACCCGAGGCTGCGGCTAGATATTGACCCGAGGAATCGATTGCGACCCTTATTTTGGCGATCAGACGAGCCCTTGAGGCACTTTTGTCGCGCCCCTTCCTTTAAGGGCCGATTAAGGGGTAAGGGGTAAGTTGCACACATCTGGAACCCGAGGCTGCGGCTAAATATTGACCCGAGGAATCGATTGCGACCCTTATTTTGGCGATCAGACGAACCCTTGAGGCACTTTTGACGCGCCCCTTCCTTTAAGGGCCGATTAAGGGGTAAGGGGTAAGTTGCACACATCTGGAACCCGAGGCTGCGGCTAGATATTAACCCGAGGAATCGATTGCGACCCTTATTTTGGCGATCAGACGAACCCTTGAGGCACTTTTGACGCGCCCCTTCCTTTAAGGGCCGATTAAGGGGTAAGGGGTAAGTTGCACACATCTGGAACCCGAGGCTGCGGCTAGATATTGACCCGAGGAATCGATTGCGACACTTATTTTGGCGATCAGACGAACCCTTGAGGCACTTTTGACGCGCTCCTTCCTTTAAGGGCCGATTAAGGGGTAAGGGGTAAGTTGCACACATCTGGAACCCGAGGCTGCGGCTAGATATTGACCCAAGGAATCGATTGCGACCCTTATTTTGGCGATCAGACGAACCCTTGAGGCACTTTTGACGCGCCCCTTCCTTTAAGGGCCGATTAAGGGGTAAGGGGTAAGTTGCACACATCTGGAACCCGAGGCTGCGGCTAGATATTGACCGGGGGAATCAATTGCGACCCTTATTTTGGCGATCAGACGAACCCTTGAGGCAGTTTTGACGCGCCCCTTCCTTTAAGGGCCGATTAAGGGGTAAGGGGTAAGTTGCACACATCTGGAACCCGAGGCTGCGGCTAGATATTAACCCGAGGAATCGATTGCGACCCTTATTTTGGCGATCAGACGAACCCTTGAGGCACTTTTGACGCGCCCCTTCCTTTAAGGGCCGATTAAGGGGTAAGGGGTAAGTTGCACACATCTGGAACCCGAGGCTGCGGCTAGATATTGACCCGAGGAATCGATTGCGACCCTTATTTTGGCGATCAGACGAACCCTTGAGGCACTTTTGACGCGCCACTTCCTTTAAGGGCCGATTAAGGGGTAAGGGGTAAGTTGCACACATCTGGAACCCGAGGCTGCGGCTAGATATTGACCCGAGGAATCGATTGCGACCCTTATTTTGGCGATCAGACGAACCCTTGAGGCACTTTTGACGCGCCCCTTCCTTTAAGGGCCGATTAAGGGGTAAGAGGTAAGTTGCACACATCTGGAACCCGAGACTGCGGCTAGATATTGACCGGGGGAATCGATTGCGACCCTTATTTTGGCGATCAGACGAACCCTCGAGGCACTTTTGACGCGCCCCTTCCTTTAAGGGCCGATTAAGGGGTAAGGGGTAAGTTGCACACATCTGGAACCCGAGGCTGCGGCTAGATATTGACCCGAGGAATCGACTGCGACCCTTATTTTGGCGATCAGACGAACCCTTGAGGCACTTTTGACGCGCCCCTTCCTTTAAGGGCCGATTAAGGGGTAAGGGGTAAGTTGCACACATCTGGAACCCGAGGCTGCGGCTAGATATTGACCCGAGGAATCGATTGCGACCCTTATTTTGGCGATCAGACGAACCCTTGAGGCACTTTTGACGCGCCCCTTCCTTTAAGGGCCGATTAAGGGGTAAGGGGTAAGTTGCACACATCTGGATCCCGAGGCTGCGGCTAGATATTGACCCGAGGAATCGATTGCGACCCTTATTTTGGCGATCAGACGAACCCTTGAGGCACTTTTGACGCGCCCCTTCCTTTAAGGGCCGATTAAGGGGTAAGGGGTAAGTTGCACACATCTGGATCCCGAGGCTGCGGCTAGATATTAACCCGAGGAATCGATTGCGACCCTTATTTTGGCGATCAGACGAACCCTTGAGGCACTTTTGACGCGCCCCTTCCTTTAAGGGCCGATTAAGGGGTAAGGGGTAAGTTGCACACATCTGGAACCCGAGGCTGCGGCTAGATATTGACCCGAGGAATCGATTGCGACACTTATTTTGGCGATCAGACGAACCCTTGAGGCACTTTTGACGCGCTCCTTCCTTTAAGGGCCGATTAAGGGGTAAGGGGTAAGTTGCACACATCTGGAACCCGAGGCTGCGGCTAGATATTGACCCAAGGAATCGATTGCGACCCTTATTTTGGCGATCAGACGAACCCTTGAGGCACTTTTGACGCGCCCCTTCCTTTAAGGGCCGATTAAGGGGTAAGGGGTAAGTTGCACACATCTGGAACCCGAGGCTGCGGCTAGATATTAACCCGAGGAATCGATTGCGACCCTTATTTTGGCGATCAGACGAACCCTTGAGGCACTTTTGACGCGCCCCTTCCTTTAAGGGCCGATTAAGGGGTAAGGGGTAAGTTGCACACATCTGGAACCCGAGGCTGCGGCTAGATATTGACCCGAGGAATCGATTGCGACCCTTATTTTGGCGATCAGACGAACCCTTGAGGCACTTTTGACGCGCCCCTTCCTTTAAGGGCCGATTAAGGGGTAAGGGGTAAGAGCTAGGGCCAAATAAAGGTCATATTCTTGCTCCCCGTCCCCGAATTGACCTATTATGAGTTTTTTAAGCGATTCTGAATCCGACGCTGTATTCGTTGCTGTTGCTGACGCTAACTTCACGGACATCCTACCGGCCACAGTGTGTCGTGCGAGGCACCCACCGGTCAATGTATTGTGAGACGCCCACCAACCAGAATTAGGCGTGCCCACCTGTGGTTGTGAGGTGCCCATCTCGCACCTCATGCCACCTAACTAAATAACTCTAGCTGCACCTAACTCGCAGCGACTATAAATACTAATAACTATCACCTTATAAACACCTGGGCGTCAACGTCAAGACAACAACCGACACAAGAAGCCGCAGCACGGAAGGGACATGACCAAAGTCACTGATACAATCGACATCCCAAGCCCGGCTCGAGTACATAAACGTCCCGGTCGGTTGCGTGTCGACATTCAGAACACCGCAAATGATGGAATCGACACCGGCACAACGACCAATTTGACGGGCGGGCAGCCGGCCGGGCCCCAAACCGGCCGTATCGGGACACCGAGGCACAAACTGCAGTTCGGCACGTCACGTACCACAAGACGCCGCGCCTCACAATAGTTGTCACTGTCGCAAGAATTCGCCAGGCAGGAGGGCGGCACCACAGCCGAACACCACGCAACTGAACAGTGACATAACCTGAGCTGACAGTGGCATCTAGTAACTGATCATGAGAGAGTTGTGACAGGGGCGCTCTAGTATTTAGATTACAGACACGGGCTCAGCTGCTGCGCCATGCAGAAGAGCCGTCACCACCGTCCGACCCCGCGGCAGACCATTTCGGCAGGGCCGTTATCGGCGGGGCCCAGTCACCATGCAGCTGCTAATAGCATTATGCTGCCGTTTTGACGGGTAATGGCACTGCGCTTCCACCACAGCTGGTGCCACGCTAACTCACGCCAAAAGGCTCCGTCAGCGTCATGCTTGCACATCTAACTTGTGATGTCAGTTATGGATTATCAGCTGCTCCTGATGTTTCCATAGTGGCTCTTCCATTTATTCCTCCATTCGATTTCGATGCTCATCATGACATATTCCTGCGATTCCATTTAGTGTTCTTTGCGTTTCGAATTTACACATGTTCCGCTGTTCTACCTGGCAGAACGGCTGTTTCACTACAGCTAGTCACGGTGCACATCCCGCCCGATTCCGCCACACCACGGACTATCAGTATCACACACATTGTCGCACACATTCAGCATTTGAATGCATCGGTTTGCATAATCTTCGCCCACTTTGTAACCGACCGTCTCCTCTTGACCTGCAGCGCTGCCCTCAAGGAAGCAACCCCCCTCCCCCACCACCTTCATCCAGTTTTCTTCAGTGACCTCCAGTGACCTTAAGTGACATACAGCGACCAAAGTGACATCCAGCGACTCTCAGTGACCTCCAGTAACTCCAGTGACTCCCGTGACCTCCAGTGACTCCCAGTGACCTCCAATGACCCCCCAGTGACCCTCAGTGATCTCCTCCACCACTCTCACTCACCAGTCTCGTCCTCATCGGACGCGTCGACCAGTACGGATCCATCCGCCGCATGGCCGGGCGGGCAGTCGAGCTCTCCATCACACTGCCATACCCGGCGGATACAGACGCCCGTGACGGCGCATCTTATCCGATCTGGAGCACAGGTGTCCTCTCCGGGCTCGGCTGAAACAGAGACGGGGCAGGTCAGTTAGTTGGCAAGTTGATTTGTTTAGAAATTTTGTCCGAATGGATGAATGTGTGGCTGAGTGCTGCCCGATGCAGTGTTTGATTTTGGTAATTGTAATGGGGGCTAAGCGTGCACCGACTGCAATGGTCATTGGGGAGGCATGTCAGACATGGTTGGGCGACAGGCGTGAGCATGTGATAACATATCAACTGGAGACACTGGATGTTTTGGGGTTCTTCCATAGCGGTGCTTGGGCAAGAGTGCACCGCTATCGGCGAATATAAAAAACGGTTAAAACAGCGGTTCAACGGGGACAAAACAGCCCAGATGTTAGAGTAATAAACTCGTTAAGGTGTGGCAACTATCGCCAACGCGACATCAACTTGTGACAGCTGAAAGTCGTGCCGAGATGCAGTAGATTCGCAGTCAAGCACGCCATTGGGATCGTTCAACCAACCAGAAAACCGCAAGAATCCCAGCAATGGCTTCATATTTATACCATCATGCTCAGCTAGGTATTTACAATGCTTTCCGTATTTTTGCCCTAGCGCCAAGGGGTTTATCGGCTTAGCTTTCACGGCGCGTTGCTCGACTAACATAATTCCACGGCATTCTTCCAGCGGTTAGCCTTTACGGCCGGCACGAATGTCACTTTTACGGCCGTGTTGAGGACGTGCGAACTGACGGCAGCTGGTTGGTGGTTGTGGACGGACGGTCCGTGGCCACGGCGGCGTCCGCTGTTCATGATAGCTGGCGCCTGTCCAGAGCGGAATTCTGCCAGTGTAGAAGGCACCGAAAACTCCCCCGAATCATTTAACAACGTCCGGTATAAGTGCACTGGTCGTCAGACCACGCAGAAGGCACCGAAAACTCCCCGAACTATCTAACAACGTCCGGAATAAGTGCACTGGTCGCCAGACGATGCATCCAACAAGTGTTGCAATCAAGCAGAGGCGCCACAAGCAACCCGGCAGGCACCAGCTCGGAGGAAGTGCATGGCAGCTGGGGGCACGCGCATAACTCGACGCAGCCGAACAGCGCACCGAAAGACTCATCCAGGCGACCACAGAGAGGCCAGAAGCGACTGGACCGTGGGAAAGCTGAACCGTTTGCAGACCCCACAGTCAGATACAGGCAGTCTGATATGCTAGCCGACATTTACAGTCACCAAGGCTGGCGGTGCAGCGACCATCCGCCATCCTCCCACACGGGTACATCACTCTATGTCCCCCCACGGCAGCTGAAGGGATCATTAGTCAGCAGCTATCGGCGCCGGGCGCCGGCAAAGCGGCGGCGCGCAGTCCGATACGTAACGGCCCGGCGACGGGGCAGCGCTGGCAGACAGACAACGGGACGTGCAATTCATCTCTGACGTGTGATCTGTCTCAGAGGTACTGGTGTGGTGAAGTAATTGTTTGTGTGCCAATGCAGAAAGTGGAGATCAAAAGGGCAAAAATAAAACAAAAACACCGTTTAGAAAAACAAGGCAGCAATAAGCCCTCCAATTTGAGTAAGTTCAAGTCAAACACTTTAAAAACTTGTCGTTAAATCGTAAAGTGGCATACAAATGAAAATGCTAAAACTAATATTGAGATAAATTGTATTCGCTATCTGTCATGCTTATTTGCAAAGCATCATTCAATATGTTCAGACCGGCCATAAGTAAACCTATTTGTAAACATTGGCTTCCCGCAGTGTGTTACGAGTAAACATACACATCAAACGGGCTCCCGTAGGGTCAAAGGGAAAAACGGCAGCGCCGTCAAGCGTCGTTTTGCAGGCTGATAGTCGTGTTTGCAATGTTGATGACCGAGCCAGGGGATTAGGCAGCCCGTACCAGAAAAATAAACATGCTTTGCCTCGCCTGAGCCCATCTTGATGTGAATAAATCGAACGGAGATGCGTCAGCAACGTATGTTGATTGTTGGTGTTTATTAGCCGCTTTGATAATGCTAAAGAGCGATATAACCTGGACGTAAGTGATGAGACGTAAGCCTACAGAGGTAGTGTCTACATGGGTGGTGCTATTAACAATGTTAGAAAACATCTTTATAAATGTTAGATGACTAGCACCGGACTCGGCAAGACTATCAAGAGACAAGAGTGGGATAAACTTGACACGTTACCCTGCCAGAAGATTACATTTCCGAGCTGGGGAGCCTGGAATCACTGCAAACACATCCAGTGTCGTTGACGACAGGGCTTCAGAAATGCAGTCGGTGTCAAGAGGCCCATCGATGCCTGTCATCACTCAAAGTACGACGTGTTTACACATACAAATCGGCACGATATACCACAAAGTCATAAGCTGTGACAGGCGCTGACGGGAGGGCTGATGATCGGCCAGTTCGGGCTGATGATCGGGCATTCGGGCTGATGATCGGCCGTACTGGACTGATGATCAGCCCTCCCAGACTGAAGAGGGACCGTCTCGCACTGATGACCGGCCGCCTTGGACTGATAATCGGTCGTTCTGGACCAATGATATACTACTCCGAACTGATAGTAGGTATACCGTCCCGGACTGAAGATCGTCCCAGACTGATAATATACTTCCGCACTGATGATCGGACGTCCCGAACTGGCGATCGGCCATGTCGGATTGATGATCGGTCGTACCGGATTTGAATGGCATTTCATTGGCTGCAGCATGCAGAAGCCTACGATCGTGCACCCTAGCAAGAACAGTTATAAAATCACAGTCCTCAAACTTTCGTTGCACCGAGAGTGTGTCCATTGTGTAAACTGCTACTCGTCTAATCCTGTCTAATCATTACATCCCACAGAGCCGCCGAAGAAGCAGCAGCAGAGGATTGGTGACGATTACTGATGAGCGAATGCGAGGTCAGCACAGACGGAGGTCACCTTCACCCATGATTTCTTTATCACCGTCTTTCACCATGATGTCGGGAAAACAGAACCGCTGCTCGTGACACCCGAATAAACGGAGCTGCACTGAGTGGACAGTCCGCCGTACTTAGCATGACCGAATAATTTATGGCCAGACGGCTGGGGTTCGGGGCCGGTCGTAACTGTTCCCTAAAAAAGAACGGGATAAAAACTAGAGACAATGAGTTGAGTTAGGTCACCCAACGAAGACACAAAGTGATCGCCGTAAGTGAAGAAAGTAGCCGTCTTCGCCAAGTTATTTTATGCGGTTCAAGGGCAGGACGAAAGTGATGCAACTTCACAATAACTCATTAAGAACGCGCGCTATAAAAAGGCTTCCCTGACCGATTATTTTTTTGTCGGATCCAAGCATATTCTGAGAGATCGCCAGCGAAAGAAATACGAGCGCCAAGAAGAAATGAAAATAATGTCAAGCTTATCGCTGCAAGTCATGCCTACAGCCCGGTCATATGTTATTAACAAGCAGCGCGGCTCAGTCAGTACAACGACTACGAGAAACGACAGGTTGTTACCAGTCAGCGTCATCTAGTGGCAATTCAAATAAAAATATCCGCGGCAATCCGAGCTACGGTTATCAGCTCACAGCTCACTCCACAGGCTGTGGCAGATCGCCGGGTCAGATCGTTCAAAGGAAGTTTACCTGATTATCGCTCGTTTCTCGCGCTGCATAACGTTAAATAGAGAACGGCGATAGTGGACTAATGCCCCTCGAGGGCCGCTGAGACTTCCTATCGCTCGTTCTTTATAAAAACATCCGGTAAATGACTGAACATTGCTGAACACTTTGCACGAAGACTCGGCACTGCCGTTGCTGCATAACATTATATGTTGTACGTTAAAGTCGGGGTTCACTTTTATTATCGTGTTCTTAGTACCTTCATCAGACATGTTGGTCAACAATTCCACTTCATCCGACATGTTGGTCAACAATTCCACACAAATAAGTTCAACAATCATACACCACTCCATTGATACAGCCCAACACATGTGGCCAGGGGCATCCAGCACTTCATTTCCCCAACGAGCATTTAACCAACCTCCCTGGATCACCCTCCGACAAGACCAACAGACTCGACAATTGCCCCCGGTCGTAACTTCGGTCGGCCCGGAGACGCCCCATTGAACAGGGAGGGGAGCGGGGTCGATGCACCGAGCCCTCCCTCGCCCTCCCCTGCTTCACTCATCCCCCCTGGGCAGGGTTGGCAGGGGGTGGCAAAAACTGGTTTTTGCCAGTGGTTTTAACCGGTTTAAACCGGCTGGCAGAAACCCCGGTGGCAAAAACTGGCAAAAACTGGATAAAACTCAGGTGGGCCAAACCACAACTTTTCTAGTTAGGAATGGATCTGAAATGTACAAATGCATTTCTTGATGTTATAGAGATGCACCAAACATTCTGAAGTTTGCCTCATTACTTATCCCTGCTTAAAATGTCTATGCATGTCAGTAGGCATCCACCACAGAATGTATTTCCATGTAGGGGAGTGGGGCAAGGCTGCCACGGTAGGGTGCAGTGCGCATATCAGTGGCAGATACCCCTTCGCACTTCTGATTGTGCAGGACTCACTCTTGCACTGGCTCATTTGTCACCCCCAAAAGGCGCCTTATGGAAAGCCCATGAAAATGTTTTTGAGTTATAGAACACTTCAACGGTCAATGTCACTTCTGGTTGAAAGCATAAAGCTTTCACCGAATTCTCCTAAAAATGTTTCATCTTTAAATCCATGTCTAGGCATATCATTGTGCTGGTTTTTAGTTTTTGCCAGTTTTTGCCACTTTTTGCCGGTTAAAACCGGTTGAAACCGGCAAATGGCATAAACTAGTTTTTGCCGGCAAAAATGCCAACCCTGCCCCTGGGGAACTGGTGGGATGAACCGTGAAGCCTGCCCGCCGCCCCCATGCTCCGCCTGTCAGCGCCCTCAGAACAGGCGACGACAGTTATGGCATGGGACAGAACACTCAGGGGACCACGGCGGCGCATGGCCTCAGCGGCTCTCTCATCGACACAGCTATACACTGCCCTCTGTAGGCACTGCCGTACCGGCGCGCATCGGAGCGCAGACAGCAATGATCTCGGGCATCACTCAGACACTCAGCTACTCACAGAGCACAGAGTCAGCCGGTCGCCATCTGATGACACACCGTGTCTCCCCGCGCCGCACGCTGTATGCACCGCGAATTGAGCGGGACTCGCAAGCAACGGTCCCCGGCTATAAAAGGTCTCCGCGGCTGGCCCCGATGTCCAGCCCGCTACTTGTCGGCAGTGTAGTACGCAAATACCCAGCCGACGCGACTCGGATAGAGTCGCATTGCGAGCTGCATCAGATCAACAGAAATGGACCGTTGATAGTCTCGGTGAGCAATGGAGGACGGCATCAGCAAACCAGCCCGACAGCAGTACATAAATACATAAATAGCGAGTACCGAGAGTACCGAGGAGACTGGAACCATGCCGTCACCAGCGTAAGCCCCGATTTCTTACGTTTCGGGTGCGAGTCCTGAAGTTTTCCGCCACTAAAGGGGAAAATATTCTGACCGTGACAGGACTCGAACCTGCAATCTCCTGATCCGAAGTCAGGCGCCTTATCCATTAGGCCACACGGCCACTGGCACTGAGGCGAGTGAGCGAGGGCGAGGGCGAGGGCGAGGGCGAGGGCGAGGGCGAGGGCGAGGGCGAGGGCGAGGGCGAGGGCGAGGGCGAGGGCGAGGGCGAGGGCGAGGGCGAGGGCGAGGGCGAGGGCGAGGGCGAGGGCGAGGGCGAGAGAGAGAGAGAGAGAGAGAGAGAGATATATATATATATATATATATATATATATATATATATATATATATATATATATATATATATATATATATATATATATATATATATATATATATATGTGCCGTTGCTGACAGCTTCTAAAGCTCAACAGCCCTTCAAACCAAGTGTCGTTCAACCCCCTCCCCCCTAAAAAAGGACCAAGATCCCGCTGTACCCTCTCCTTCGCGGAGAGCTTCACAAAGCTCACCGAGTACCGACGTCTGACAGCGGCCGATAGTGCGACTGCAGCCCTGCGCAGTTCGACGGACGGCGAGGGGACAACACTGCGCTATCGACCGGAGTGCAGTCGTCAGAGCACTGAACGTGTTTGTGATGTCATGCTCCTAAGCGGAAATAAATCCGACGCCAATCTTGTGCTAAGTGGGGGATAGGCAGCGACGCAAGGAAATGCGTCATCACGATAAAAAAAGAATCACTAAATGATTACTTCTCATCATTCAAACTGTCCGCTCAAGAGCACGACAAAACATCACATTCCTGACCTATCCTACCCTCTCCAGCGTCTCACACATGCCCACAGCTCCCTGCCAGAATCCCAGACTCCCTCAAGCTCACACTCCATCCAACGGTCCTAGCCCGTCCGCCCCTCAGCACAGAGTGCTAGATCTTGCACCGTTCACAGCTCAGCCACCACGGGAACCCCGAGAGGGCAACATCGCCCGGCGAGCGGCTCTGGCACGGAAATAGACCCGGCACAGCCACCGCGGCAGGGAGGGAGACACGGCAGACTGACAGTCGGGAGGTGGAGAGTCGAGTCGTGCAGGGAGCTCCGGTGGCCACTCAGGGGGCAACCTCGGCCTATTCTCAGTAAATGAGTTCCATCTTTATAATTGTAAATGAATTTGGGGGAACTAAATACCTACATATATCAGTTCAACAAGGAGGAATAAACATGCGATTGATAAGACAATTAATGGACATAGCAGTATAATTCACATGTCCGACCTCACTTTTACGACACAGCATACTGGATTTCTGGGTGCATCACAACAGTCACCCAAGCATTGTGCCTTGCATACGAGACCAAAAATAGGCACATGACATCACCTTGATAAACGTGAGCCCCTGATTGGCTGCTGAGAGATCTACGCTAGTCAGCCCCAACCACTTTGGAAGCATGCGTCTTCGGCCGTTCGAAGGAGCCGGTCTGCAGCGAATGGGAGGGAGTGCTGTCTCTCCCCGCGCACACTGGGCCGGCCGGCCTGTTAGCAGTCGTCACGCGTACGGCCCGTAAATTATGTGGCGGCGGGACCGAGCGCGGAGGGTGCCGCCCGGGCTCCTCTGGCCCCAGCTCCGCGGCAAACGACGGCGACGACCAGAGGCGCCAGCCAGTCGTGAAAGTGACAGCTCGGGTCCAGTAAACAGATCAAAATATCTGGCAACTACCAAATACCGACCCTGGGGACAGTGGCAAGAATGTGCTGAGGTCGCGATTTGACTCGCCTAAAATGCACGAAGCTGCGATGATGTTGAGACTTGAGACAGGACATGCTGATTGCTGAGTCTCATGAGGATATTAAACGTCATGACCCCGACACCAGACGGGAAATGCGACTCGTCACACTACCACAGAAGCCGCCGAGGTTCCAGAAGCTTCCTGCTGCAGTCATCTAACTCCTTGTTAAAACCTTTTGCAGCTGCCGGCTCCTGGGTGGGGGATCAATTGCCGATGTCTACACACGCGAGCTGAGCTACCGTGTCCGTCCACAACCCTACCAGCTGACCTTGGGTGGACTTACGTGAGCTTACGAGCACGTGAGGTCACGTGGGGTCACGCCCGGGCGAGTGGGGCCCACATGGGTCAAGCAGAGTCATCTTTGGTCAAACGATGGTTCATGCAGCGCACGGCGGGGTCGCCCGGGTCAGCCCGTGCAGCGCACCACGAAATGGCCCTGTCCCGGGGCGGCCGCTCCCCGCCATTGATTCGAGATAATGTATGCAGGAAAGGAAAATTATTGGGCTTGTTGAAGCAACTGCATCGTCATCATCTGCCGTAGGTGTATCTCGCATGGTTACGCGACTGGTGCTGTTTTCATCCGGACCACGACATGGGATGGCGGGCGTGACATGGTTGTTATTTCCAGCAGCAAAGTATCGTATCGAATAGCGCTTCTGCAGCGAATATAAGTGGTTATTATTGAAAACCATTTATAACTGTCGTTATGTAATAGACGTTAATACACGATCAAGCTGAAAGCTTCCTAAATAAACCAGCGGCCAATAAATCATTTCGCCTCATATTAGTCTCCGACTGGCAATCATGGTACCCTTCCAGAACCAATCATCTCGGTAAAGGTCAACAATCACTAGCAGCGTCCACGCTATACAAACATTCTCCGCATTCCGCCTTACCCCGCCCCTCCCAAGCTGCTCCCGTGCGCCACATTTGCCCCCCACCCCCCTCCTTCGTGGCTCAACGGGGTCGCTCAACGACGTCGTCACATCGTGCAGGGGTGTCCCCTCCGCCAACCGTCCAGCCTACCGTCACCGAGCGGGTCGCCCGGTTGCCACGCGGCGGCGTCTCTCGAATGAGCCGGAGAGCGTCAGACCGGCGCGTGCCGTCAGAGAGGCCGCGGACGTATTTGGTTGCGCTGAGCCATCCGGCTGCCGGAGCTGGACATTAGCATCGGCGCCGGACGTGGGCGCTCGCCGCGTGCCGGAAGGCAGCGGAGGCACTGACGGTGGAGACAGAGGCTTATTGGAATGCGACAGACGCACCGGTGGGGATCGGTGGCCTCCGCCATCCCTCTCCACTCCCAGGGAGGAGAAGAATCTCCTGGCCAGACCCGCTGCCGGTTGTTTCTCTGACAATGCTGCATCCCTGTGGTGGGACCAGTCTCATCTATCGTCACGTCACGGCCCACACCCAAACGGACCGGTCATAGTGACATCGCCGGCAGCACCACGCGCCTTGCCAGGCGGTGAAGTGACGCTTAGCCATGTCAACAGGAGCGCTCTTCAGATACGGGAGCCCCCAGCCGCGTTGGTATTGTACTAGCTGGGCACCACACAGGCAACAGAGCCCCTCTGAGGTCGCCCTCACAATGGGCGAGTTATTTCTAATCCATGCCCTCGCCATCCCTTAGTCTCGCTAATTCCACGTGGGCTCGGGCTCAACGGGTCCCAGCCACGAGCATATCCAGTAACGGAGCACCCACCAAGGCCGGCGGGAGGCGGCAGCGGGGAAACGCTATCACTAATTGAGACGGCCGATAACCCTGCACTGACAGCGGCCTGATAGCACCGATGACATCAGACAGGCCGCCCCCAGCCGGCCGGCAAACCGGTGCCAAGCCGCTTCATTGCGGCGCGAATCGCCCAAATCAAACCGCGACCGCCGTCACTTTACCCGGTATTTAGCCGCTCGAGTCGGGTGGCCGAGTCGGACGACTGAGTCGATGAGTCATGCCCGAGTCGGTGTGATGAGTCATTAGGCGGCCGGCCGGCCGGCGGGCTGCCGTCGGGGTGCCGGAGGGCCCCAGTGTTATTTCCACCAGCTCGTGGCCGGCATCCAAGGCCAACAGGCCGGCCGGCGCGGCCAAAACAGAAGAGTCCGGCACCGGCCCGGCCAGGCAGCGCGCTGTCCAGCGCTGTCCGGCGCTGTTCAGCACTGTCCGGGGCCCCGACGGCACGCAATATCACCGGTCGCACCGCGCGATACAGTTCGGTGCGGTGACAGTGACACTGGATGTAGGCCAGTTTTATAATAGCTGAGCCTCGATGATTCCCGATTTGTGCAGCTATGGTGCTACCAAAGGGAAGTTTGTTGGGCGTCCAGTGCAGTAAGCGCTGGACCGGGAATACCAAGCCAAGACCCCTGCCATTAGAACTCCGCAGCATAGCGCTCAGCTGCTGCCAACTACCAGCCTCGTGGAAGATCCCAAACTGGGAATGTAAGCCGTTCATGACGCAACAACTCGACAATACACTGTTTTAGTTTGACTTGTTGATTAGTTGACTGTCATCTGTCGAGACACTAGCTTCTCCTCAATGCAACATACCTACACCGAAAGAACCACTGGGCACTGACCCCCCTAGTTTCATAACACCGAAGCGGAGGGTCCTGTTTAAAAACAAACATCTGACATGCTCGCATCACGCCAAATTTCACGGCTCAAAAGCTCGGCATGCGTGGCTCCGTGGCACGCCAGTCAGCCAGACGAGCCAGACGGCGAGCCAGCTCGGCAGTTGGCAGGCCATTGCCCCGGGCAAGGTCACGTGACTCTCCCGGCAACCGGACTGAGTCCCGGCTGGGCTAATGGATGCACGGAAACCAGGCGCATAAACAGCGGGCCGGATACAGGGGAGCATCCGGACTCCGGAATCACCAAAGCGAACGATGCGCAGAAAACTGCAGGTGGATTGAAACACGGTTGAGGTTGGCGTGTTGCATGACACACTAAAATATGGCGGTGAGGCTGGAATTAACGACTCACAGCTTTACAGCTCATATGTCCCAACGACTGATAGATACAACCTTTAAAAGCGGATATTATTGTGTTCCAGAAAAAGTGTGTCCGTCCGACGTTGCTTAGCACACGGTAAGGAGAACTGCAAGATCACAGGTCACCGAAGACGAATCTCGCAGTGCACCCGTACGTACGTCACCTGACCCGACCTGTCCCGTCCCCTATCTGACCCGGCTGGCAGACAGATACCTGTCCCCAAATCCCTCGGCCGTAGACGCCCGCTCCGAATGACCCGGTGAGGGCGTCTCGGGTCGGGTGACGGGGCCGGCCGGCCGTCTCATGTGACCCGATCCCAGGTGGGATGAGATGGCT